TTTTGAACGGAGAATGGGATCCACTTTAGTCAGTTAATCTGACAGAAAATTGCACTCAGCTTCTCTCTCGCACAAATATAAGAATGAAAAATAATACTAATTTTTAAGGGCGGCAGTATAATTGACTCATTCTGTACTTAGTAGTTGCTTGCTGTATTTAGCATGATGTTCAAGAGGAGCACTTCACTTGGTGGTTTAGAGAAAAGGCAAGTAAAGGTCACACAATAGAAGTTTATAAAAAATATTCATGAAATGGAGAAAGCAGACAGATACGTTTCTCTCTCCCTCATAACACTAGAATGAATCCAATGAAGTCGAATCTTGGGGGATTCAAGGTAGATAAAAGACAGTACTTCCTCATGCAGTGCATAGTTAAATTGTGGGACTTGCTCACTCAGGACACAGTGATGGCCACTGGCTTGGATGGCTACTAGCCATTATTACTATCCTCTGTCTCTATGGTCAAAGGCAGCATCCTTCTGAATACCAATTGCTGTAAACTTACAGAGTAAATGAGAGTTCTCTTGTGTTTGGGTCCTGCTTCCCACAGCATCTGATTGGCCGCTGTGTAAATAGGGTGATAGATTAGATAGGCCATTGGCTTCATCCAGCGGACTCTTAGGTCCTTATGTATACAATCTTCTTCCTTATGACCAAGGGTATAAGTAGAATACATTTAACCACCTTCCTCCTTATTCCCTTTCCTCCCGACAGAAAAATAAGATGATAATATAGCAATATATACGTATATATTTTGGTTTTTTGAGGAAAACGTTGCTCACTTTCTCCTAACCTTTCATTGTACTTGCTGAACCTTTAAAGACAATGATGAATTGCACCTTAGTGTATGTTTCATTTGTGAAATGTATTAAACTCTGTCAGTATATGGAAAAATTATATCTACTTTGAGCACTGTATTTCTAACAGCAATTTTAATAAGAAGGAAAGCACAGAAGTACTGACAGTTTTTAATAAAACCGCTGTGGAGAGTCACAGTAAATGAAACTTAAAACAGTGATGTACTCGAATTTGTAACCCAAATCTGTAACATGCCTGTTTCCTTTTCTCTGAGATACTCTGTGTGTTTTCTTTAGATCTTGTACTGATGCAGAATTCCATTACCTTATTTACCTTCTTAAAAATATATATATTTATGGAAACTTCAGTTTCATCTCACATACTAGAAAATTCTCAAAGTCCTAAACTTAACTTTTTCAAGTTCCATCCTATATGATGGATATTCTCTCTCTCTTTCATTTTAATTATATTTATAAATCACTGAACATCCCAAGGGAACCCCAGTGCAGCAAACAGCAAGTAATAAATACAATACACAGCTTAACTATTAGCAAAAAATACCACAAAACCTTACAATTAAAAAAATCAGTGTGAACTACTATAGTCAAGCCTGGCATTTGCAGCAGGATGAACCAGTGCAGCGCTGAGATCACAGCACAAACAGTAGGTAGCTGAACAAGATCTATGGGTCACTGTACTGATGTAAGAAATGTTCTGATGTCATGGTTTTCAACGTGAATGGCTCTAGCTCTTCCAAGGCTTGTGTACTCCCACTTTCCTCCTCCTATGTGACTGGGAGGAAGAGTTTGAAAAAAAAAATTTCTTTAGGTCAACAACTCTTTGTTATGCTGTTCAGAGTGGCAGATGGTGGTTAAGTCTGGTTAATTCAAAGGAAGCTAGTCCATTGCTTCAGAAATTGTCAGTTTTCTTTGTTTAAATAGTCCCACTCTGAAGATATAGTGGTAAATTTACAAAACTACCATGATATACTGCATACTTGAAGCTACCTTTTCTGAAAAAAGAAAAATACTGATTAAAATAATTTTGTTTGTTTGTTTGTTTGTTTATTATACTGCCCTATACCCATCAATCTCAGGGCAGTTCATAACATAAAATCACAGTACTTGTATAAAAAAAACACAAAACACGTACTAAAAATAAAAACAAAGGCAACCCAAGAATCCCCCCCACAATGTTTTAAAAGGGAATTAGATGTCAACCAGCCATTTATTCAGCTGCCTGTATAAAAATTAATAACAAAACACTGAAATGAAATGTTCAAAGTCACCTTTTCCCTCCCACAGTTTTTTCATTGTCGTTGATTCCCATGACTCCTATAAAGCAAAATGAATTGGTTATCCTTTTACAACTCCCTTGCTAAAGTTCTCTAGTGACTTTGCAAAACCACCCTTTGGGTCTTTAAAAAACGGGGGGGGGAAAGATCTTTAAAGCCTTTAGGACAGCTGGATTTCACCATGTAAGAAAACTTTCGGAGCATTACTGTGTCACTGATCATTGATGTTGGAACATTTCAAACTGTAAATCTTTTCCTGGCTGCACTGCAGAGTTTGGGTGTGTGAGAGTGATAAGCTGCTTGAAAAATGATGTTGAAAAATATTAGGATTCTCTCTCCCACTGTTAAAATATTTATGTTAATTGAGGCTTCAATTTGCTAAAAAAAAAATTTAATTCCTTGCCCTATATAACCTGATAGCTCCTCGGCTCCTTCAAATTAATAGCAAAAGGGTGCGATCTTAAACATCCTTACTAGGCAGTAAATTCTCTTGAACTCAGCTGTACTTTGCTGCAGATAAACATGCTTAGGATTGTTTTGCGTGTGTGAATACATACTTGGGACAAAGGTTAATAGCCATTCTGAAGTTTTTACATTCTCTAATATACCACCTTATATTTTTCCTTGTTGTTTCCTCCACACCAGTATGTTATTGCTGTAAAATCTTTTCCTTCCTTTATGAAAGCTCTTCTGTGATGGAGAGACTAATAGCGAAGGTGCATAGATAGTGTGTGTGAACCCAGAAACATAATAGATGCAGTGAAATTTAAAATATAAGAAGGGGTTATAATCCCACCAGAGCCCATAACGTTTATCTAATCACCTGATATGCAAACTAGCATGTTCATAGGGCATAGGTGTCATATGGCTAAACTGCTGTGATGTCACAGAAAGCTTTGACAAGCAGAGGAACTTTCTGATTTCTATTGATTTGACTGCTCTGATATCACTGAAGAGGTGACCCTTGAAGAAAACCTCTGTATAGTTGAGGGGACTCAAACTTGACTGCTGTTTGGAATTTAAGCCAACCCCCAAAAGAAGTGCCGTAGTTCTAGCCATGCTGGTATGTGGAGCCTGGGTGACATCAAGTGTGCTAGGTATACATCACAACATTTTGTTGCAGTTCCCCAATTAGAAGTGACACATCTCTTCAATTGAAATCCTTTGAGCACTGATAATACTTCCTTTTTAGTAGAAGTCCACATAAATATAGTGTTATGCCAATATTCCATCCCTGTCTGGAAGGAAGATACAGAGGCCTTGAATTTGTCATTTATCTGAAAACACCTATAGTAATTAAGAATTACCTCAAAGCAACCTACTCACATACAGTGGTACCTCTGGTTACATACGTAATTCGTTCTGGAGGTCTGTTCTTAACCTGAAACTGTTCTTAACCGGAAGCACCACTTTAGCTAATGGGGCCTCCCGCTGCTGCCGCACGATTTCTGTTCTCATCCTGAAGCAAAGTTCTTAACCTGAGGTATTATTTCTGTATTAGCGGAGTCTGTAACCTGAAGTGTATGTAACCTGAAGCGTATGTAACCCTAGGTACCACTGTATACCTATTTTATTGACGTTTTGCTTTGCTTGAGCCTATGCGCTTGGTTAGTGAATGTAAAACTTTTTTTTACTAACCAAGACTGTAGGCTATAGCAAAGCAAAACATTAATAAAATAGGTACGTGTGAGTAGGCGGCCTAAAAATACTTTTCTGTGGGGCTCATATGCAGTGCTGTAATTTGGCAAAGACATCCAAAATTTGCACGGTGTGAAAAAAACATGAACCTTCCCACAAAAAAAAAAACCAAAACATCTACATATTTCACTAGGAAATAATGTGTAAAACTCTATAGGGCTATAAGGAACTGCCTTATACTGACTCCAATATTTTGTCAGTCCTGGCCAAGTTTGGGGGTAATTGTTCTCAGCCTTTTAAAAGAAAACAATATGCAGGGGACAGGGTGGTATGGTCACCCCTTGGGAAACTCGTGCATGCCAGCACCACCAATCCCGTCCAACTATGCCACCCCTGCTATGACAACCACTTAACGATCTCTTTCATTTCCCCATCAATGAATAGAGAATGACTTCACCTTTGGACCTTTCCAATATAGTATGTATATATATATGCTTGTAATAAAAGCAGTTTCTCAGGAAACCAGACCCACAAATCTCTATTTGCTTTAGGGTTTCCAGCCCTATCTTCCTCCTTTTGCAGCCAAGTCTTTTTTTTTTTTAAGGCAATCTCTTGTCCTTCAGCTGTCTATATTAAGCTTTAGCTCCTGGAGAGGTTACTAATACATATCCAGATACCTAGGTCCTTGGGGAGTCCTCTCAGTAGCCGTGGGGAATGTTGAGTTGTGGGTAACGCTGCCACCTTTTCTGGCAAGGTTCCTGTGCCTTTTGATAGTGGTAGAATAGGGGAAAATTCAACAAATAAAGCTCCATCTGGCAGAGTGGCGGAGGTGGAAGAAGCTTTAGTTTCCGATTTTCCAACAGCCATGCGGGTGATAAAAGACGTAAGACGTGTGAGGCCTCTAGAATGATTCGTGCGACTTGCACGAAAGTACATTTAAGTGTATTCCGACCTGCTGAATCGAAGTGGCAAATTTTGTTTCTGCTTCTAAAGCAGAGCAATTCATATTGCAAATGAAAGTTTGAATGTCAAGATGCATTCCCTGTGTAATGTGAATGGTGGTTGCAATAGCCTTCTCAGTTTTAGTGTTAAGCAACTTTTGCGATTGTGGTGGTAATTTAGAAAACAAAATACATTCTTCTTTCCTTTATACTTTTGTGGCTTTCATTGTAGGTTAACCTGAAGCGCTCACTAAAACAAGTTTACTGATTAGAATATCAGTCCAATGAATAACTTTGTATAGATTAGAAGTGAAAGTGCATAGCAACACACACTCAACCAGTTTCTCTTCAGGAAATAGGACAGAACAAAGATCCATGAGAAAAGGATCCACATTTATCTGATGCTCCATATATCTCTCTCTGCATCTATATGCATGTAAGAATGAAATTTGCAAAAATTTAAATTTAAAAATGCCTCATATGCCTAAGGCAAATATATATATATCTGTGTGTATGCGATCTTGCATTTTTGCTAATAAGCATGGTTGAAACCTTAAGTGCTGAAACATTTTGCCAAGTATTTTAGTGTTTGTTCTGTCTTTTTTCTGCCGTCACAGATATCTTTTGATTTGGCTGAATATACTGCTGATGTTGATGGAATTGGCACTTTACGGTTACTTGATGCTATCAAGACATGCAGCCTCATCGACTCTGTGAAGTTCTACCAAGCTTCAACAAGTGAGCTTTATGGGAAAGTGCAAGAAATACCGCAAAAGGAGACCACTCCTTTTTATCCCAGATCACCATATGGTGAGTATGTCAGCTTATGTCTATGCTTGTCCCTGCCTACATATTGCATCCTGATTAGCTGCCATGAAGCACAAAGTTACTTGTGCTGGTGGAGGCACAAAAGTTCGAGGCAAATGGGAGTCTGGCATCACAAATCTTGAGGTTGCAACCAATTTTAGATCTTAACTTCTTTTCTGGAACGACAGTTTACAAGCTGGCCTGCTAAAACTGAAGGCTTTTGTACCGAAGTTTAAAATGAAGGCAGTAACATTTTCTACATTCTACTCTGCATTTTTTTTCTTTTCACATTTCTTACCCAGTACAAATCCTACAACGTGAATGTGATCTGTCACTGCTTGTTGAATGTAAGCTACCATTTCCATTAAAAACCTTACTTGTTTTTCCTTAAAGCATTCTCTCTCTTTGTGAAATAAAAATGGAAATGGAAAGATCACAAACTTGACATGAGCCAACAGTGCTTGACCACAAACTTGACATGAGCCAACAGTGTGACGCGGCAGCTAAAAAAGCCAATGCAATTCTGGGCTGCATCAATAGGAGTATAGCATCTAGATCAAGGGAAGTAATAGTGCCACTGTATTCTGCTCTGGTCAGACCTCACCTGGAGTACTGTGTCCAGTTCTGGGCACCACAGTTCAAGACAAACTGGAACGTGTCCAGAGGAGGGCAACCAAAATGGTCAAAGGCCTGGAAACGATGCCTTATGAGGAACGGCTAAGGGAGCTGGGCATGTTTAGCCTGGAGAAGAGGAGGTTAAGGGGATATGATAGCCATGTTCAAATATATAAAAGGATGTCATATAGAGGAGGGAGAAAGGTTGTTTTCTGCTGCTCCAGAGAAGCGGACACGGAGCAATGGATCCAAACTACAAGAAAGAAGATTCCACCTAAACATTAGGAAGAACTTCCTGACAGTAAGAGCTGTTCGACAGTGGAATTTGCTGCCAAGGAGTGTGGTGGAATCTCCTTCTTTGGAGGTCTTTAAGCAGAGGCTTGACAACCATACGTCAGGAGTGCTCTGATGGTGTTTCCTGCTTGGCAGGGGGTTGGACTCGATGGCCCTTGTGGTCTATTCCAACTCTATGATTCTATGCTTCTATGATTCTAAGATGGAAATAATGTGGTTTCGCTTATTTGGAGAGGGGTTAAATTAACATTTTCAATAAATAAGTTACAATTACTGTTATAGGGGCAGCCAAGCTATATGCATATTGGATTGTGGTGAACTTCAGGGAGGCCTACAATCTCTTTGCTGTGAATGGTATTCTCTTCAACCATGAGAG